CGGTACGAAAAGGAAAAAAAAGAACTATTAAAACAAGTTTGTATTACCTTTTTATATTATGGCATATTTATAGATGTGTAATTCGTAGTGTGCATAAAGACTTGTTTTTGTTTTTAGAATGAACTTCAGGTTCAAACAATCGGTCACTTGCAAAATGCAGTAGTAGAAGCTAAGAAGTGTATAGATCAGATGGGCCACAGAACTGTGAGTGATAGAAATGAACAATGGTCTACAAGTTCGCCTTCAGTGTACAATCAAAGTATTGTGCATGATGTTTAAAAGTTAACTTGTTAGTTAAAATGATCCAGATAACACTTGATTCCATTATATGTATAAAACAAACATTCAGTGCACTATTATGAAAAGATTCTAATGTGATATAATTTTCAAGTTTTAGGTGTATTATAAACGATTAACTTCGAGTCATTAGAATTGAATCCTCTTAGGATTTTCTGTACTATACGTTTTGAACTGCATATTAATCATGGTACATATCTTTTAATTTGTAGAATTAAACAAATTGTTATATATAGATTATCAAATTATCAGAACCTCTGTAAATTTGTACATTCTATTCCTAAAACTCAAGTGTTGTGGTATTGTACAACGTTTTAAATAGTATATGTTTATGAACATTTTAAGTTTCAGTTCTGTAATTACTGTTGATGATTGTTAAAATTCTATTTTATCGTTTTATAAAATATTTTACTTTGCTATTTATCATTTCATAATAAAACCAAATGAATTTGTATTTTCATATGCATATAGTTTATGATAAAGTTTATCAAAATGTTATAATAAAAGCCTAAATAATATAAATAATACGCATGTATTTTAAACTTTTATTATGCTCATAGTTTTAGACTAACACCTAGTTAGTGTGTTTTCTTTCCCTTGAAACATAGTTTGTAGAAATTGATTATGTGATTGTGTTGTTGATAATGAGATGTGATACGTGAAACCAACGTGCATTTGTGATTATTTTGGTGCTAATATCGAAGTGTCGGCCTGTTTTGAAGCATTCATAAACAAGCAATCGAACGGACTATCATTTACAGTTGGAGAAAAAGACTGAAGCTGTTCGTCAATTGACAATTTATGCAGAAGAAACTCAAAGTCAGTACAATGAATGTTTTGCAGAGGTATACTAGATGATCTTTATAATTTAAATATTTAAATTATTTTTCATGGCCGTAAGTTACCAATAATATATTTTCTTCACACAGGCTGCTAAGCAAGATAAATTGTTAGAGTTACAACGTGATGCAATTTCCTGTCTTCAACAAAAAATCAGTTCTATGGAACAAGATAATCGTTTGTTTATTGTCTTCATCCACATCATGTATTATTCAATTATAAAAGAAATACAGGTAGACAAATTTGATATTCTCTTAAGGAACTCTGAAAAGTCATTTCACGTGTTTGACCTTATATTAAAAAAAGAAAATTTATTCATTATTTATTCATTAGTAATTTTATTACAGTTAGGCGACGCGTCTAGCGTAATCTTTATGCCTACATTTTGTGTACAAGTATTAGCACCTGTTATTAAAAAACTTAGTGTTTCTATACAATAATATTAATATTAATATTCTATGTAAACCATACTGCACTTGCGGGCCAGCGTTATATGAACTTCTAACGATCTGGGTCGTACTCCGATCTTACAATATCAGCACGTTTGGTATTTTACTCTTCTAAACAGAATGCACGAAGCTTCATGCTGTTTTATTAAATTAATTAAGATCTAAAAGAGAAGAAAATGACTAATAATCAATAGTAATAAAAGAAAATACATGTACTGCTTTTGAAGTCTTATGGCATTTTAATTTTGATTGTAAATATTGAAATAAGTATTACTGATTAGTTCTAAAATATTTATTCAACAATTTATTGTTTTAATAACTATATTAACATTTTTATAGGAACAACAATTAGAGAGTCGTTTGATTGACATTCAAGCTTTAAAAAATAAGGTGTGTCGTTAGTATTATAAAAAATCAAATATCTTTTAAACTATGTCTAATAAACTATGTTCATTTTTAGGTAATCTATATTGAAAGTAAATATTTAAATGCCAAAAAACTATTGCAAGAAAAAGAAGGAAAATTACAGGAATTAAGGTGAAGTAGTAATACAAGATTTCATAAATATTATGTAACTGAGTTAAAATATAATATTTACCGAGTTATTAATTTCTCCAGAAAAGACATGACGAATGAACATAAGACGAAGATTTATGAAGATAAAGAAATTCAGTGTAAGATACAATGCAAGGATAAAAATTGTACCACTCTTGACGTGGTCGATTATAATGAACTGATATGTAATAATAAGGGACAACGTAAAAACTTATTACGTGAATATGATTTGCAATCAGAATACGAAATTTTAGTCAGAGAAAATGAAGATCTAAAAAGACAGCTACAAAAATATAAATTAGATTTTGATATAATTGATAAGGAACTGAAGACGGAACAAGAAAGTAACACTTATGCTCAGCAGATCTCGTTCGAATTACAGAAATTAAGAGATACAGAGTGTTGTTTACAATATGAAAATCAACAACTTAAATCTGACTTGAAAACGCAGACGAAACAAATAGAAAATCTTCTGGAAAAGTTGCAGCTTGCTCAAGAAAACAATACGAAATTCGAAAAATTGATGAAGAAACTGGAAGACAAACAGATACAAGTAAGAGCGATCACCGTAATTGCAATTTAGCTATTTTAAATGGGTGACGGATACTATTAAGATAATAATTATATCATTTTTGTATGTTCAGATTAATGATTTGTCTAGTCAAATAACGAAAAACGAAATTATTATAAACAATAAAAAACAGATTATTGAAGATCTCGAAAAGAAGTTGAATGCAAAAAATCAACAAAATAAGGCATATTTAGCGGAATTGAATGAAGCGGAGGAAGAAATGTCTACTTTGCATAATAGAATACAATCCTTAAAAACATTATTAAAAGAAAAGTCAGATGATATGGCTAAACTACAAGCAGATTATGAAGTAATGAAGGTACATACAAAAATATGATTACATGTTATTACATTTAATATACATTTTACATACACACATACAATTCACAACATACATACATACAATACATGCATACAATTTTCTAACGCCTATACAAAAGTCATTTGTTATAGAACAACAATTCTATCTTGCGAATGGAAAACAACAGTTTTGAAGACAAAAAGAAAGAAAATGTATGTCAATTACACATGATGGTATATATTATATTAATGTATAGATGTCTAAAAGAAACTCAAATTATTTAAATTACTTCAACGCATTACGCATATTGTTTCAGGTGAAGGAACTCCAAAGGCAATTATGTTTCACCGAAAATAATTATTGTAGAGTTACAGAAGACTTTAATAAAGTACAAGAACAATTAATCAAGATGACGAAGCGAGAAGCTGATTTGCAAGAGTGTTTGACAAATATGGTACCTAATATCTTACAACTTTTTAATTTTAAACCTTTGTTTCATTACTTTCTAGCTTTTATCTTTTTACTAAAATATTTTAGGAAAAAGACTATTGCTCAAAAATATTAACTCTTGAAGAAGAGAAAGCAAAGCTTGGAGAATGTTTAGATAAATTTAGAGATGAGTTGGAAGAAAATCAAAGAAGCCACATATCAAGAAATAGTGAACAATGCAAATTACAAGATATATGTAAATCTTACGCAGAACAACTAGACATTTTACAACAACAGGTAAAATAGAACATCAATTTAAAATTATTGAAGAATAGTCTACAAACATTCAATTTCGTAGTTGTGTCGCTATTCCAAATCAACGATCAATCCTCTTCCTTTCTGTATTATAGCTTGAAGAAGAAAGAAAGAAAGTTAAAAAAATTGAAGAATCAAATCGCAGTATAGTACAACAATTACAAGAAAGAAATTGTGTTCTTGTTAAAGAAAAAACCATTATAGAACGAAATAATTGTGAAATGAATTCAGAGGTAATATATTTAATTATTTAAAAGAACAGTATAAAGAAGATTTAAATTATCAAGTATTAATATTTTAACAGCATTTAAAGTGAATATTTTTAGAAATTTTTCGCATTTATAAAACATGTAACGGACAAATTGTCTAATAAACAAATATACCAACCACAATAACATGTAGTAAAACGGTTTTATAGAAAAATTCATGAACTTGTTTGGCAGTTAACCATGGATAAGAAAGAAAAAATGTATGTGTTAAGTATATAATTCCCAAGCATGCGGACATGCTTTTCTCGGTGAATAAATTTAATCTAAAACACAATTTATAAATGTTCATTTATGAATTATTTTTTGACGTATGCATTTAACTTAAAAAATATCATATCGCAAATGTGAAATTATTAGGTATGAATGGAAATCAGTATACTTTTCCTTTTGTGTAATATGAAACTGATTTTTAAGACAATATATGTAAGTTACTTATTTATAAATTTAGTATATTCGAATACCTAGCAAACTTGAAAAATTCCCATAACAAATTTATAAAAACAGTATTATTTGTCCCCGCAGTCGCATTCGACAACTTATTTTCTGCAAACAAGAAAACAGTGAATTATTTTTTTAAGACGCGCTGACATCGACTAAAAAACAACATTAATGCTTATTTACCAAAGAAAGTACGTATGGTGTCCTTATTTTCTTGATGTTCTCTCAAATAAATTAAATCTTCTTCTGTAAAATATTTCCAAATACATAAGCTTGGTTTAGGTGGTTCAACGTATCGATTATAAAAAGGATTTGTTGAGTAAACCCAAGGTCCACACAGGTCGTCGTAATTTACATTCGACTCGATCTGATTTTCCGAGCGTATCTTTCGAAAAACTGTTGTTTGAACATTTGATATTGTACTCTCTGATAAAGTTGACCATTCAACATGTAATAATTTCAACTGGTCTCGTTGATTAACATAAATAGAATCTTTTTTTAGAACTTGATCCAACATTGTTAAAATATTATTTTCTACTAAAAAAGAAATTCTGTGTGCTTAAAAATTAAATGAAATACGCACGAAAATCATATGACATTTAAAAAATTAAAGTCGATAGATCGCATCTCGACTAATGATGTATCGCAATGAAACTCGATCTACATGCGACAGTC